TTATTGTCCAATAGAAACCCATTCAAAATTATATTGTTTCTGTAACACCTTTCATCTCAGAATTTTCAAACATTTAGCAAACTTTAAGACTGAGACCAAGAAAGGTAGCTCAGTAATTATTATCCCCAACAGCTGGAGAAGAGCAAGGCAAAGGAAGATTAAACAAGTTGCCAAAGTCTACAAAGTAAATCAATAATAGGAATACCAAATGAACCCAGGAGTCCCAAACTGCTAACCAGCTGTCATTCAGCTATTGAACAGGTCTACGCGACATAATGAGAAGCTCTTAACTTGGTGTCTGTGGACTTGACTTTTTAAAATTATTTGCATTTATTTTGTTAATTATTTCTCAATTACATGTAAAAAACATTTAACAATCATTTTTTAAAATTCTGAGTTCCAAATTCTCTCTCCCTTCCTTGAGAAGGCAAGCAATTTTATATAGGTGCAATTTTATACATGTGCAGTAATGCAAAACACATTTCCATATTAACTATGTGACAAAAGAAAACGCAGACAAAAAGAAAAAACAAGAAAAATAAAGTTAAATAAAAGTATGCTTCAATTGGTACTCAAGGTTCATCAGTTCTCTCTCTGGAGGTGGATAGCATTTTTCATCATGGGTCCTTTGGAATTGTCTTGGATCATTGTCTTGATCACAGTAGCTAAGTCTTTAACAGTTGATCATCTTTACAATATTTCTTTTACTGTGGACAATGTTCTCCCAGTTCTGCTCACTTCACTTTGCATCAGTTCACATATGTCTTCCCAGGTTTTTCTGAAACCATCCTGTTCACCATTTCTTATGGCACAATAGTTTTCCATCATGATCACATAGCACAACTTGGTTTACCATTTCTCAATTGCCTCAATTTCCAATTCTCTACCACCACAAAAAGGGCTACTATATTTTTACACATATGGGTCCTTTTCCTTTTTCTTTGATCTCTTTGGGATACTGGACCTAGTAGTGGTATTGCTCTTTCAAAAGGTATGCAAAGTTTGATAGCCCTTTGGGCATCGTTCTAAATTGTTCTCCAGAATGGTTAGACTAGCTCACAACAGTGCATTAGTGTCATGGACTTGGTTTTTTTAAAAAATATTTTGATAATTGTATTTCGATATAATTGGTTTCCTTTGTTACCCTACTTATTGAAAAACCTTATTTCGAGGGGTCCACAGACTTCACTAGACTGCCAAAAGGATCCATAATCCAAAAGTGGGCAAGGAACCCTAGAAAAAGCAGGCCAGACAACGAAGCTTCAGATGGGATTTAGATTAGAGTGAAATTAAAATAAAATCTTTTTTTCCCATTTCTAATAGTTAATACTCACAATTTTAACATATACAAGCCTGCTCAGATTAACTGGGGTGGAGGCTGTACCTTGGCGTTTACTAGGGTCCTTGATTAGGACTTGGTTAGCTCTTTGAGAAAGGTTTTAGTAGGGATTCCTTTCAGTTAGACTAAGGATGATTTATGTCGGTTCATACCTGGGTCATTCATTCCTACTTGGCCTTTAAAAGGGAGAACATGGACAAAGAGAAGAAGAGGATGAGAACCAGAGAGAGACACAAGGAGAGGGGCAACATAAATGGGCTCTTAGTTCTCTGGAGAGAAAAAGACTTTGAAATTTTGAAGTCTCTCCAGGGAAACATTTAAGAGAGTAGGGAAGGGTCAGGCTTCTCACCTTATTAAAGGGCACATTTTGGCAAGGGTTTGACAAACCCTGGCTTCAGGAGACCCGGGGAAATGAACCTTCCCAGGTTCCTCCTGGGCACACCCTCTAACACTTGAGTGTGTAAAGAGTCTCTTAGTTCCCCTAAAAGCCATGAAGGTGAAGGAAGGGTCCAAAAGAGGATGGATCATACTGAATGGGTGAAATAGTCATTTATGAAGGTGTTCAAGGTTCAATACAGCATTCCTATCCGCAGATACACACATCTGGCTCCCATCAAGGCAACCGGAGCCATGCATATGTATCCAAGGATAGAATTTAATCTAGAGCAGCAACACATTGCATAGTCCGTCAAGCCAGAGGAAATATGAGCGATCAGATGGACGGCATGGATTGATTCCATGTGCCCTGGAAATCTACCCTAGTCACACTCCAATGTTTTAAGGTTCAAAAATACAAAATATTGGGTGATGCCTATGACACAGCAAATAGGCCGACTATGTTTTCTGAGAGAAGCAGGTGGTTTGTAAAGGAACAATTTGCTTCAGCCACGCAAATGACATCATATTTCTTGAAATTCGATCCAACTAGCATTAAGTACTTCCTATGTGCTGGGCACTGAGCCAGGGGCTGGGGACACCAAGACAAAACAAAAACAGTCCCTTTCCTCAAAAATCTTATATTTTACTGGGGATATGCCATGTAAACAGGTAAGTATATACAGAATCATTTGAGGATGAAAAAAATATTAACAAGTCCAGGGGAATTAGGAAAGGCCTAATCTTTGAAAGAAGCTAAGGCTTCCAAAAGGTAGAGCTGAGTTCCCATTCAGTCACGGGAACCTGTGCAAATTTGGAGACCAGAAAGGGGGTCAGTTTGTCTGCAAGAGACCAGTGGGGGGAGTAACATACGATAAGCCTGAAATGGTAAGTTGGAGCCAGGTTGCGGATGAATTTTAATATCAAGCTAAGGAGTTTATATTTTAAAATCTAGAGGCAATAGGGAAATACTTTAGACAAGCATTTATTCGGAATATTACATGGTCTGTGTGGAAGAAGGAGTAGAGGGAGGAAGAGGAAGTAGCAAGGAGTCAAATCAGGACTCTAGTGCAATTGTCCCTCAGAGAGGTGATGAGAAGTGAACATAACATGGCGAGGTCATGTAAGTGGAGAGAAGGGAATGGATTTGAAAGATGATGAGGAAGTGGAATCAAGGAGACTTAGAAAATGATTGGACACTACTGAAATCAATCAATGGTTCTCTAATCATGTACATTAGCTATCTTTTCTTGTTGTTGAAATGTGACTTTTAGATAAGGAGGAAAACCAAAAAATGTAATTTGTCTATAAGATTTAGACAGGAATTTCAGCTTTTGTCCTCTTCGCATGCAGTACATATCCATTTATTGAAAAAAAAAAAGTTGGCTGGTCTTCTGGGAGAATGTATTGATCCCTTCCTAAACTCTTTCCATGGTCTTTATCCTTTCACACCATTTAAAAGGAATGCTCTATGTTTCTATTTTGGGGAAAACATACAAGGTTTTTGGTTTGTTTGGTCCATGTTAGAGGTAGAGGAAGGATTCTCAGTCTGAACCAAGTGTGACTAATGAGGTCTAAAGGTTTAGGGGTGCTGGGACCCTGAGATCACAACACGTGGGTCCTGCCTGAAAGAATTCAATCCAAGCCTTCTTTCAGCCAAAGACAAGGTTTATTAAAGATCCGCCATATTAGCCAAACTCTTAAGGAATCTGAGAGTCTGTGAAGTATTGACTAGATTCTAAGAATCTGAGTGTCTTAATGGAGACAAGATGGACCTTATATACAGAAAGATTGTGGGAGGGATCTAAGAGTGGCCAAGTAGTTTGGGGTGACTGGAGGAGGGGTCTAAGGAAGATCTGAATGGGAGTGGCCAGTAAACTGGGGTGAACAGAACTCCTGGGACCTGAACAATGGAGCCTAGCTAGGATTAAGTGTGGGAAATGGCAGGGGACTATAGGAAGGGCTAGGCTAGGTTAAGGGTAACAGAATTGGGACATTGGGTGTAGCCACAAAGAAAGGCCAGTTGATGGGATTATAGCTTCAGGTTAAAGCCAGAGATCTGGCTATGTGGGAAAGTCCAGGGTTTTTTTCTTTTGGGGATTTGGCCATGTGGGAAAGTCCAGGGTTTTTCCTTTTGGGGATTTGGCCATGTGGGAAAGTCCAGGGTTTTTCCTTTTTGGGATCTAGCTCCCGTCCTCATCATGACCACTGTTGGATAACATCAATCTTTTCAAGTACTGACTTCCTTTTAGTTCTAACTCTGTAGCTCATTATGGTACAGAGATCATCTGGTACGTTCAAAGTTACTTGTGGAAGTTCTGGATGAGTCCTACCAAAGTCTTCCTACCTGTGCCCTGTGGCAGGATCTGTTGCTATATCTTCTCTGTTGTATCTGTTGTTGAAGGACCAACCTAGCTAAATTTGGAGAAGCTCAAGTAAGAAAGCTGATTATCAGGCAATCAGCTACAGTGATGCATTGTCCATAGAATTTATAAAACCATCAGCTATTACTAGAAGGTAAAGTAATCTGCATTGGTGAAAGATGTTAACTCCACCAATTATACATGACACACCCAACAAATTGGCAGAGACAGCAGGGTGCTGTCAATTTATGCAACCATTCTGTAAAACAATTTGAAATTATGCCAATAAATTGACTTAAATGTTATATTCTTTAGCCCAGAGATTCCACTGCTAGGTATGTGTGCCAAGGAAATCACAAAGAGTTTCCATGTACACCCAAATATTTATAACTTTTTGTGATAGCAAAAAAATGGGAACAAAATAGATTTTCATTAGTTGGAGAATTGTTTAAATTAGATGAATATAATATATTATTATGCAGTAAGAAATGGTGAATACAGAGAAGCACTGACTTATTGAACTACTGCTAAGTAAAGTAGGCAGTAATGAAAAAATAAGATATACAATGACTATAGCAATGTAAATGGAAAAAATAACAACAAAACAATGGAAACCTTACATTGTAAAGTATAAAAAACAAACTTAGCCCCAAAGAGGAAATATGAGGAGACTACTCCCTATGCCCCACTCCTTTGAAGAGGTGAGGGTCCACAGGTGTGAAATAATGCGTGTAACATCACTTTTTTGGGGGAGGGGGGCTAGGCAATGGGGTTAAGTGACTTGCCCAAGGTCACACAGCTATAGTAAGTGTTATGTGTCTGAGGTCAGATTTGAACTCAGGTCCTCCTGAATCCAGGGCTGGTGCTCTATCCACTGCGCCACCTAGCAGCCCCAACACATTTTTTTAATGTAATGTTTATTTTTGCTGAAAATTTTTTATTCCTTTTTTTAAAAAATGTATATCATAAATACATGGTCTTAGGAAGGGGAGAGTGATATTTAAAGAATTTTAACAGACTGAAACAAGGTTAAAATATCAGGTCTTTGAAACCTAATGCCTCCTTGATAGGTGTAAATACCTTCAATAAAACTTCACAGGATTTGGATCAAATGGCTTTGGAGGGAGTAGCAAGTATCTTTGACTATACTTGTTGACCCAATCATATCACATTTTTGATGAACCTTGAACCATGGAATTAATTGGTGGAAAGCAAAGGGAGTGGTTTGATGAGGTCAGGCTGTTGTCCATCTGAGCTTTGGGACCTATAAAAAGGAGACAGAGAGACAGTGTGATAAGCTGGAAAGGGAGTTGGATTTGGGATCAGAAGACCACTATGGGAATGCCATCTTTGACTTTTATTACTTATGTGACCTTGGGCAAGTCATTTTTCTTTTCTAGCCTCAATTCCTCGTCAGTAAAATAAGTGGGTTAGACAAGATGGCCTCTAAGCTCTCTTTCATCTCTGAATCAATGATCCCATGAAGAATAATCAAAGACCTCATTCTTTAACCTTGCTAAGAAGCCCAGATTTGTTCCTAGTCACACTGCCTACCACAATAACATAGTCCTCGAACTTTCCAAAACAGAGTTATAATTTTTGCTTAGTTTACTAATCTGTAAAATGGATAGAGGGAGGTAAGGTACCCTCCTATTTGGAACTGGACTGAGAAGGCAAAGCAATTGATGATGCTCAAAGATATAAGCAGATAGTCCTCAAAAGAAAAACTGCAAAAGATTAACAACCATATAAAAGGCATTCCAGGCATGGGGGACAGCCAGTACAGAGACATGGAGATAAAGAGATGTGAATGTCTCATGCAAATAACAAGGCCAGCATGGCTTATAGATCAAACACAGAAAGAAACATCTCATATACACCTCAATATTCATCCCAGAACTTCTGGGCAGCAAAGACCTAAAAACCAAAAATATGCCCATTGACTTTGGAATAGCTAAACAAATTTTAGTACATGAATATAATGGAAGATTACTATGCTTTAAGAAATGACAGGTACAAAGAATTCAAATTAACACTTATGTGAGCTGATATTCATGACTATTTCAAAACTAAAAAGAACAAAGAAACACAAAACTGAAGTGAACTATATAAGCATAATGACAGAGCTTGTCCCCAGAAAAGAGCTCCCTTCTTTGAAGAGGTGGGAGGCTACAGGTATGGAATACTCACATACCGTCTGACATGTTTGATGAATTGTTCGGTTTTGCTGAAAAACTTTTTTCTTCTTTTAAAGTCTTTGTTATTATAAGATGGTTTGCTGGGCAGAGACTGGGGAAGGATATATTAGGAAATTAATATGATGCAAAGGAATAAAAATAAGATTTTTAGAAATAAAGTCTATTAATCTGTAAAAGGAGTATAGAGGGGTATGGCTACACTCCCAAACCTGAAGACTAAGAACGAGTGGCAAGTTAATTGATTCTACTACCACCAGAACATCTGGGATTGGCCTGTGACCAATGTCCCTCGTCCCGTTGTGAGGCATTGAAGGTCAAAGACAGACCACGTGGAGGGCTAGAAGAGGAGATGGTTGCACCGTGGGCGTGAGAAGTGGTCAGAGGAGGCCAAACCTCCTCTGCAGCCCTGCAGAGTCTTTGGGCAGGCCTGGGGCGGGTGTGGGTGCGGCTGCTAGGGACATCTCCAGCCTCTGCGGGGCCTTCCCCTTAGGCAGGAGCCTAGAGCCACGTGGCCTAGAGGACAGCTGCTGAAGGGAAGGCGGAGCTCTCTGGGAGGCGAGAGATTTGATTGGTGGGCACCCATTTCTCTCAGGACTGACATCAGAGCTTGGCGACCCCTCCCCGCCCCACACTTGGAAGTGAAGTCAGTGGGGAGAGAGCAGCAAGTGCTGCGAGGTTGGGAACCATGGGGAAAGTGACCCCAGGGCCTTCTGGGGGCCCAGAAGTGGGTGTTACAGGACCGTCACATGCTGCATGGGTGCACATACATGTGTATGTGTGAGTGTGCAAACCCTTTCCCACACAAGTTCATACATACACACTGACTCCACTTCCTGTGTTGGAATAGACTGTGTATATATAATTAAGATATTATATTCATAATTATTGGCAAGATCATTACTATAATATGCATATGTTTTCCATGGCTTAAGCTTACTCACTCCACTTCCTGGTTAGGGTATATGGTCTACATTATTATTTTATTCTCAGTAATCAGTATTAATATAATTGTTAATGTGTATATATTTGGTGTATATTATACTTAGAGACTCCATTTCCTGTTACAGTATACTGTGTTTACATATAATTAATGTTATTATCAATATTAACAATTAATATGCTTATACTTACTGATTCTACTTCCTTGTTAGGGTATACTATGTGTATAATTAGTGTATTTTATTAATAATTGTTATTGATATTATGGTACATATATTTTATATATCTTACACCTACTAACTGTACTTCCTATAGGGTATACTGTCTGTATATAGGTAATTAATATTTATATTAATTTATCACTTCCTTGTTAGGGCACATAGTGTGTATATATAATTACTGTTGATGTTATTGATAATAACTATTGCAGTTACTAATGTCTTTTATACTTAAAGACTCCATTTCCTTTCTTATGGTATACTGTGTGTATATAGCTGTAAATAAATCTATCTCTATATATCTCTGGCTTATATATATAGAGAGAGAGAGAGAGCGATACATACGCATCTCTATATATCTATATGTACGTATATGTTTCTATCTATATCTAAATATGTGTGTGTATGTATATATACATACACACACATTATTAATGACTCCATTTTCTGTGTTAAGGTATACTGTATATCTATTCATCCATCTATCTCTGTATCTATCTGCCTAGCTATCCTTACTGCCTCCACTTCCTCTGTTAAATACTTTTTTTTGTTGTTTAGTCATTTTTCAGTTGTGTCCAACTCTCTGTGACCTCTTTCGGGATTTTCTTGGTAAAGATACTTCTCCAGCTCATATAACAGGTGTGGAAACTGAGGCAAACAGGGCTAAGTGACTTGCCTAGGGTCACACAGCTAGTAAGTGTCTGAGGCCAGATTTGACCTGGGGAGATGAGTCTTCTTCACTCTAGGCATGTCACTAGCTGTCCATCCATATATGCATAAAGAGAGATACAGAGAGATTTATGTAATCTATCTCTGTATTTTTCTCCTACTTATCTATCTTTAGGTATCTTTCTTTCAATCCATATCTATCTGTAAAAATCTATATATCTGCATATCTAGATATACTTAATGATTCCCCTTCCTCAGAGTATATACTGTGTGTGTGTATACACATACACAGAGTATGTGTACATCTGTATGTACATATTATACATGCTGACTCCACTTTGTGTGTTACACTGTGCATATGTCTATTTCGTTAAATATAGATATATTTATATATCTCTTTCTATCTACACACTTACTACTTCCTGGTAGGATACACCGTATATGAAGCTATAGCTATATCAATCTATATATACTTACTGACTTCACTTCCTGTATTCCCCCTATCTCTGTCTTCCCTCTTTCTTAACCCCCCCTCATTGACTCCACTTAGTGTTAGGGTATACTCTGTGTGTATACACATACTGCAAAAGTCCACAGATATATACACATACTAAATCAGATCCACAGACTCCTGTTTTAGGGTAACCCAGTACATATATGTGTCAGTTTTTACTCTTATTATTATCCCAATATTGAAGTCTCTCCATCCCTATGATCATTTCACTTGACCCTCTCTTGATGTTTTCACATTCTGCTAAGTATTCCAGATGAGAAGAATCATGGTTTTGTACAGTTGACAATTATTTACTGAATTCTTACCATGCTGTGTGTCAAGAGTCTGGAGTGGTGCTGGAAATGAGAGAAATGAGGAGGAGGGGTGGTGTGTGTATCACTTGAGCTGCAGAATAATGAGGTAGAAGGTTTCTTCTGTAGGACCAGCTCCTTCAGGTCTTTGAGAGGAAAGCAGGATAATTCATAAAAGCATCTCTACCCCACTATTCAAATACTTACCGAGCAGGTGCTTTTCTGTTCTAAGTTCTGTGAAGAAATAGAGTTCAAAGATACTGGTGCGTCACAGTAGAAGGAACACCGAATGGGGAGTCGACCAGTAATTTAATAAATTGGATTCTTATTGTACTTTAAAGGTTTACAAAGTACTCTTCCACGAGTCTCTGGATTAAGGTAACTAGTTCTCCATGATTTTGTTGTGCATTTCTCAGATGCACTTATGTATATTGTGTATTACTGCTCTAGGGTTGGTGTCCTATCTCCTTATAAGCTCCATGAATCAGAGAACAAGCTTTCTCTCTCCTACAGTGCTCTGCACACAGTAGGCATAACAGGTGCCTCATCACTCTTTATTAAATGAGTCATGAGATCTCCAGAGTTCCACCTTCTGCAGGAGGGAACTTTGTGGCATAAATGACTGACCTCAGAGGTCATCAGCAATCTCTGGGGAGGCAGTGTGGTTCAGTGGAAAGCAATGACATTGGATCCTAGCTTTCTCCCTTCCTTTCTCTGTGACCTGTATCCCTAACCTCTCTCACCCTCAGTTCCCTCATATGCACAACAAGGAGGTCAGGTTAGATGGGTCCTCAGGTCCTTTCCTGTTCTATTGGCCTTCTGCTTGGAGGGGGGGGGCTGGGGGGGCTGGGAGGCATGGTACAAAACCACCTTTTGGTTCGACTGCCTTGATAAGTAAGACGCAAATATGTCCTTGAATAAATCAAAGTCATCGTGTGTGAGTGTTAATAAATGTTCCGACGGAGAGCTCCTAACGAACCCCATTACAGAAAGCACTGAAGCGCCTACTGTGTTTTCAAATGTGAAAACATCACTCCATAAACACTTGGTTTAAAACGCAGGTCTCTGAATCTGGGAAGATGAGATTCTGAGGTCTGGAGAATTGTTTTTTTTCCTGAAGCAAAAACAACTTGAAGGATGGATTTAGGAGAGAGGAGTGAGAGGGGATATTGGCCTAGGGGACAGTCAGCCTGGGGGTTGTGGGTTAAGGCATTGTGGACCACAGGGTGAGCCAGGGCCTAGAGGAGCTCCAGGAAGAAGGAGGGACCTCTCAATGTTAGCTCCCTACCACAAATCCCTTGTGCCTTATGCTAGTGTGAAAGCACATGAAATCCCTTCCCCTTGCCCTCACCCCCTCAGAAATATTTTCTCAATGTCTGTCCAAACCTTTATCTGTATGTGATCATTGCCAAAGGGACAATGTCTAAAGTCCTTGAGTGTTATTCTTATCAAAGGCCTCACCTCTTCCTAAAGGAACGGGCCAGATCATCCCCCTCAGATGCTACTGAGCAGAAGCTGGAAGAAATCACTGGGCCAAAATTGTGCTGACTAGATCCCACTTACTGGGCCCTTCCTGCATCCACACTGTCCACTTTGACCTCTCTAATGGACGCCCTCTCCCACCAGAGCCTCTTCCCAACCTTTTACTCTTTTCCTTGGGCCTCCCGTGACTCCCCTCTTGAACCCTCTCAGCTGAGAGCCCCCTCTTCTCTCCTCCACCTCCTTGTCTCACATCCCTCACTCTCAGAAGAGGGGCCCTTCTGGCGGCCTAGGCCAGCCCCCTCCTACCTGCACAAGTGGTCCCAATCCATACCATCTTCTGTCATCCCCACTCTCTCTCCCGTCTGTTGGCTACTTTCTGCTGCTTACACATATGCCCCAGTCTCTCCCTGCTATCTTCCCATATCTCTCCTCCCCTTCGTGGCTGTTCTCCTTGAGAAGGCTGTCTGCAATGGAATCATTCCTCTCCTTCTCTGCAGTCTGGTTCTGACCTCTTCATTGATCCCAAACTGCTGTCTCCAGAGTTACAGTGACCTCCTAATAGCCAAAACGAGTTGTCTCTTCTCACCCCTCATCCTTCTTGACCTTTCTGTGGCCTTTGACACTGTTAATCACTCTCCTCTCCCTGATGCTCTCTTCTCTCTGGGTTTTCATGACACTGTCCTCTCCTGGTTCTCTTCCAACCTCTTCACCCATGCCTTGTCAGGCTCTTTTGGGTCTTCATTGAGGTCATAGCTGCTATGGTAGGTGCCCCCAGGGCTTTGTCCAGGGCCCTCTTCTCCCTCTCTCCTACTTCATTTGCTGATCTCATCAGTTCCCATGGATTTAATTACCATCTCTTTGCTGCTGATTCTCAAATCTGTTTTTCCAGTCTTAAATCTCCAACTGCCTATTGGACATCTCCATCTGGATGTTCTGTAGATATCCTGAAACTCAGCATGTCCCAAACTGAACTCATTATCTTTCCCCAAAAAATCTTCCCTTTTCCTGATTTCCTTATTATAGTCTAGGGTACCACTATCCTTAAAGACCAGTCCGTCCTCCAGTCAACTGTCAAATCGATCTTGTCACCCCTCCTACACAGCAAACTCCATTGGCTCCCTATCCCTTCCAGGATCAAATACAAAATGCTCTGTCTGGCATTCAAAGCGCTTTATAACCCAGTCCCCTTCTACCGGTCCAGCCTTCTTACACCTTACTCCCTGACACATTCTCTTCTCTCCAGGGCCACTGGCCTGTTGGCTGCTGCACGTACAAAACACTCCATCTCTGGGCTCTGGGCATTTTCTCTGGCTCTCCCCCATGCCCAGAACTCTTCCCCTCCTCTGTTCCAACTGCCGACCTCCCCGGCATTCTTTAAATCCTAGCTAAAATCCCAGCTTCTACAGGAAGCCCTTCTCGGTCCTCCTTAGCACTAGCTAAGGATTGTTCCTGTATTTTGTTTGTACATAGTCGTTATTAAGACTATCACAGTGACTGGCACATAGGAGGCATTTAATAAATGCATATTGTCTGATTAGGGAAATGGTCAGCCCCTTCAGTTAATTCGCTAAGGGAAGGGTCTCTTGAATTCACCTTTAACCAAATAAAAAAAGAGAATCCTTAGAGGGAGTGGATAAAAATGGATTGGTTTTAGGGAAATGATTCTCCAGGGTGCACCAGAATATCCATTTGGAGGAATCAGAACTGTTACCGGCGCTTTGTGGTTGTTTAATCTTCAGTCTAGAATTTTATCTTTGTTGTTGAACCCTGTAAACTGTATTGGGAAGGGGCTTGGGCAGATGGGGAGGGCTGCTCCGGGCGAAACCGGACTCCATGGCCAGAACCCTCAGAACTCCCAGGCACCCCCACCTCACAATGGGGAAGCAGTCACAGCCCCGGGGATGGAAGGCAGCCGAAGCGGCTACTTAGTGCATCCCCTCCCCCAAAGGAGGGCGGACCCCTCCGTGCACGGGACCCCTGGCACATGCTCAGAGCTTAGTGCACGCCTTCTGGTGGCAAGGAGGAGGGTAGAGCAGGGTTCATATGCACCCAAGACCTCCCGCCGAGGCTCTCTGGGCCTCAGTTTCCTCATGTGTAACTTCATCTTCTGCAAATCAGTCAAAGCTGCGCTTCGGCGTTATTTTGACTTTTTGTTTGATGTTTTTGCTTTTCCCCTGAAACTTTGCTGTGAGGAGACGGCAGCGAAGCCCCTTCCCGCTCCGAGATTGGGGGGGGGGGAAGGTACTGCACACAGTAGGCGCTTCAGCGCTTTCTGTAATGGGGTTCGTTAGGAGCTCTCCGTCGGAGCATTTATTAAGCGCCTCTGGTGTGCCAGGTCCTGGCGAAAGGCAGCCCCAAAATGAGTTCCTCCGGGCCTTCAGGGCCTCTCTGCCCTCCTGACCCTAGGAGTTCTTTCGTGCTGTATGGCAGGGTTAGGTTTCAGAGCCACTCATCTACTCATAGAGCCCAGAAGGGCGTCGATGGGGCGAAGAAGAGCGTGGGTCAAGGCGAGGGCGCGAGCACGCACGCGCGCCCCGCGAGGGGCCGTTATAACCGTTGCAGCCGTTTCGAATTCCCCTCTGCCTTCCGCGCCTCTCCTTTCCCCTCCTCCTCCCCTGGTCAACGTCATCAGCCAGCTCTGGAAGGGAGGGGCGGCCCTTACCTCAGGAGAAAGATGACTAAGGAGCTCTTCCTTCTTCTTCATTACTGATGAAACCTGCTCTCCCCACTTTGGCGGAATGGTTTCTTCCGCACCTCCTTCTTCCCCCTCCCCGCCCACCTCCTGCCCACCACCTGGCTGCGGACCCGCCCCTTTTCCTACGCTTGATTGGCTCTCAAGGCCGGTCCCCTTGGGCTCTCCCCCTGGATTGGCCGCCTCGGCCGCCGCTCACGCCTCGCTCGCCCCTCCCCCTCCTAGTCTTTTCCCGTTCTCGTCTGGCGTACCCCCACGCCCCTTACGTGGCGACGCAGCCGCCGACGCTTCCTCCATAGACAACCGAGTGGCTCGCCGATTAGGAGGTGTCTGAGCCGGAGCTGTAACCCTTGCGGTCGCCGTCTCCCTCGCCCTGTGAGGACGGGAGGTCGGTGGCTGGCCGAGGGCTGCTATGGTGTTGAGTTCTCCCGTAGAGCCGACCGAGGAGAGGCGGTTGCGGCCATGAAGGTAAGAGGACTCCCTCCGGAGTGGGGGGGGACGGGACGGGACCGGGGCCGGCGGCTGCCGACGACCCCCCCTCCGCGGTCTCCTCAGAGTTCCCCGGCCGTCCCTCCGCGGAGGGGCCGCCTCCCACTGCCCGCCTTGGGCTCGCGGGGGGCGGGCTCCATGGCAGTGATCCGGCCCCCTCGGGAGACCCTCTTCCCGCCCTTGCGGAGCCCCTCAGCCCTCCCTGGCGGCCGCAGAGGCGCCCGGCCCGAGTCCGTCAGGCGGCCGGCCGGCCGGCGTGGGGTGCGCGCCTCCCTCCTGGGCCCCGCCGATCGCGGGGGTCGGACCCGGGGGCTTGGAGCTCTCGCTCCTACGGGACGAATGGATGAGTGCCTGCCGCGTGCGGGACCCCCGGGAGCGAGCTGTCCGGAGGGAGGGGGGATGGGGGAGGGGATCTTGTAAACCCGGGGAAGTTGTGGCCTGCTCGGGGGACAAGAGTTTGCTGTGAAGTCTTTTTTACCCGCCGCCCCCCCCCCCCCCCCCCCCGCCGTGTTGGCCGGGGGCTCGAGCTGAGAGCCAATGGAAGGACATCGATGAAAAGGTGCGATCTGAGAGGCTGGTGAAGGGGAGGGAGTTAGCCCAGGATGGAAAGTCGAAGGGCAGTGTCCGGTGCCTTTAAACTACTTGCATTTTGTTTTTTCCGGTTTAGTGTATTTAGTTTTTCAACAGCTTGATTTAGAATCTCCTCAACAGTAGGTGAAGTTGGATACTCGCCGACAACTAGCATCCCCGGTTGCTGGAAGCTCGAGAAAATCGCCTTCTATGTGTCTCTTTAAATTGGTACTAATCACTTCTGAATTACCAACAAAGAGTGAAGTAGGGACGGGTTCCGTGCCAAGGCAGTTTAGTCCTTTAGTTTTTCTGGTAATGAAATCCGGAAGATTTAGAACTATTCAGGAGGCATTTTTCAGAAAGTGATCGTGAGTTGAAGTGGAAGGAAATTTTCTGTGAGATGGGATTTTAGAAGTAGAAGGCATTTGAGTGAATGTCTGACACTGTTCTCAAATCCCAAAATGTTGAGTACTAGTACCAATATATTACGAAAATATTGGGATTTGGGAAGCAGAGGGAACATAACATTTAAGTTAGTGCCCTGAACTGATTCGTAACTATGTATGTCATAAAATCTCTAAAAAGTGTAGGAAGGTAGGGTTTTCTTTAAGGAAATTCTGGTGTTTATTTTCTTCTTAAATCCTCTTTTTTTTTTTTAAGCACTTCATCTGAAAATTGAGTTAAGGCAGCTCTTTTTTCCTTACTAATAACTTTTCTTGTTTTTTAATATTGTGAGCCAAATGTGCTAACAAGTACAAATTCTGACTAATCCTAGACTTTTGCTAACTGGTAATTATAAACAAAAGTTTTCTTTATATTTTAGTTTTTGTGAAACTGGCTTTTTCAGGATATAAGTCTTAGGCCAGTTTACTAGAATGACAACTATTTTGTTGAATTGATTTATAAAGTCTGGTAAGGGGTAATAATCAGCTTTTGGGCATACTCACTTGTTTTGTTTTGAGTGGTACTAACTACAGGAATTATATCATGTGAGCATTCACCCAAATAAGTACTCTTTTCAGTGAAATTAAAATGACTTTTTAACTACTGGGAAGTTGACTAAACACATTGCAACTTTGCCCTGGAAATGACCACTTTTAGTGGGTTTTTAAAAGATTTTTATTTTTATGAGCATTATCTTTTCCTTTCACTCCCCACCCCATTGAACAATTTTTAAAAACATCAAAAACCAGAACCCTTACAACAAATAGGTATAGTCCAATAAAAATATATAACCACATTATCAGTGTTCAAATATGCATGTTTCATTCTAGATTTTGAGTCCATCTCTCTAGCAGGCAGTGTGGGTGTAATGATTGATCTTCATTCCTCTGGACTTGTGGTTTATCACAGCATTCATCAGAGTTCTAAAGTCTTTTCATGGTGTTTTTCCCCATAATAGTGTTGTAATTGTATAAGTTGTCCTAGTCTGCTTAACTTGGCATTAGATCATAAAAGCACTCCTAGTTTTCTCTGTAACTGCCCATTTTGTCATTTCTTATCACACAGCCATCTGTTAGATTCATATGCCATTGTGTGTTTAGCCATTTTCCAAAAGGTGGGCACCTGCTTAATTTACATTTGGGAGGGCTATGAAAAAAGCTGCAGCCAATGTAATTATATATATTTTGTACATACGAGTGTTTTTGCTCTTTCTTGGATCTTTTTGGAGTAAAGGCCTAGTACTGGTATAGTTGGGTCATACTCTGAATGAATCTATCATATACAGTTTAGTAACTTTTGGAGCATAGTTCCAAATTGTTTTCGAAAATGGTTGGACCAGTTCACAGGGCCAGCAACAATTCCTTGGTGTGCCTCTTTTCCCACAGCCCTCCTGTATGTTTTTTTCTTTCTAGTATATTTTTAGTGATTATTGACTTAAAATCAAATAATTTTCTAATATCCTTACATTGAAGGATGCTTTTTATCTTCCCATGCAGAGCAGGATTTTTAAACTAAATTGGAATCTCATGTTAATTAAACTTAGCTCTTGAATCTATTTTTCCACAGCCATGGTGGTTCTGACCCAAACTACATCTGAGTGTGTAACCACTAGACTTCTGATTTCAACCTGGTGGAAACTCCCAGCCAGACAGATGAACAGTTCATTTGTAACGTAAGAGTTTTAGAGTAGTGTCTCTGGGGTGCTGAGAAGTCCTTTGCTCACGCGGCTTAACTACTATCAGAGGCAGGATTTGAACCAAACATCTGCCACTTCCAAGGTTGGCCCTCTATCCATTATGCTGTACTCCTCAGATTTAACAAGGAGACAGTATGTTAAAATGGAAAGAGCCCTCGAAGTGGAGTCTTAACACCTCAGTTTAAATCTTGACTGGGCAGCCTACTACCAGTGTGACCTTGTGCAGGCATGTAACTCACCTCCCCGGACCTCTATTTGTTGTGAAATGAGGGTGTTGGCCTCTTGGTACCTTCTAGTGCTAGATCTCTATATTTATCGGTGACCAGGGTTAAGAGAAAACTGCATTAGGTGATACTGGGTTCTTCCTCGCTGGCAGTTTTCAGAAGACATTTATAGGTAACAATCAGTGTTCCATAATTCCTTAGCAAAGAGCACTATACAGATCTAACAAATCTAACAATGGTGTGGCAGAATCGGGGTGAATCACCTATTCACTTTCCTCTCAGGAGCTGTTTTTCTTGAATTCTTTACCTAGTTCAAGGTCTGAAGTGTTTTGATGTGTGACTGGCAAGTTTATTTTGTGAATACCATACTGGATAAGTAAAAGTTACCTTAAAATTACTTGTTTTCTATTATCTGCAGTAACATAGCATTCAGAATTTTGTAAGATACCTTTTGAGAGATCTCCACTATAGTGCAAATAATGTTGAATATCTGATGAAATATCCTGCATAAAAATTCATTAAGTCGTTAATACTAATTAATGTCTGTCTGTGTAGGAATTTTCATTTCCAAATAACTTCGTGGAAAAACATTTTGAGTCTAGAATTTGTTGAATGGATGAATGAAAAAACATTCATTTATTAAGCACTTACTATGTATGAGGTACTTGTTTCTCTTAATACTAATAGGATGTTTTGGTTAACAGAGTTGAGTTCTGTATTCGGTAGACACAGTAGATGTTTATTGAATTTTTGGAATTTCTCCACCTACTAATAATAGCTTTTAAAAATAAATCCTTATATGTGGTAAGGTAGTTTCCTCAGGTGTCCCTAGTTAGGGTCAAAATATTAGTTATCATCTTTAGATTCTTCTTTGTTCGTCTTTAATAAATGCTCTGGGAAAAGTAACTAACTTGCAATCTTTCCCTCTCTCCCATAGATAATATTTAATTCACATCAATGCTACAATTTAGAATTTCTCATTTTGTTAGGTTAGCAGCATTTGATTTGTATTTTGGTGCATTGGGTTTGGATGACATAGAGATTCCTGTTGTCCTTCCTTTTCCTACGTGATGGCATAAAAACATTCAAATTCTCAAGTTTCTTTCTGTTGCTGAATTTGAATGACCTCTGTTCTTCATTAAAACAATCACATAAAATGTTAGTGTGCCTAATTCTTAATTTAGTTTGTAGCCTGATAAGTAACTTTCCAAATGTGGGTAGTCTTCGATTGTAAACGCCCTCCTGGATTTGGCCACGGACTCAAACTGCAACTTCCTACTATTGTTCTGTACTACCATTTAATTTCACATAACAACAAACTGGTTTTCCCCATTTCCTTTAAGTTTAGTTGTGTTTATGGTAGAATCACTGAAAGGGCTTATAAAGCCCTGTAAACACATACTCTAGTGCCTTGGTTCTTAACGTTGGGGTCTGTGGGACCCCACAAAGGGTTTGTAGATTTGAGGGGGTCTGTGAACTTGAATGGGAGAAATACTACATCTTTATTAAACTATAATTGGTTTCCTTTGTGATCCAACATATTTTGTACATTTAAATTAGCAGTTTTATGCATAAAAATGTTTTTTCAAAAAGGTTTCTAAGACACAAGGT